CGATTGTAATTGAAAATAATTATGAAGATCACTTGCATGGATTCGAATCTGTTTTAGGAAATTAGGATCTAGCGCGACGTAAAATGAATTGTCTTTTAAATATTTACATTCAATTTCTGCAATTTTTAACATTTAAAAAATTTTACAAACAAAGAATTTTTTATTATTGATTATACACACTGTTTTTATTGGAAGAGATAAATGCAAATGGTAAAGCGAAAATTGATAAGAAAAGAGGAGATGGGGTGATGTTGAAATGTAGTGGAAGTAGTTGATATTTATCAGTTAATGGGGTGAGCAAGTAATTTAAATTGTTCCACCACAAATATCATTTGTTTAAACTTGGATTTTTATCGTTGTGATATTCACACGCAATTTAATTTAATTTTCTCAGTTGAATATCATATTTTATTAATAGTGAAGGTCGATGAAAAAAAATTAATGGAAATAGTTTTTGTGGTGCGTATGGTTGTTGTAGCAAGTCGTCATATTAATTAATAATTAAACTAATTTTAGGTGAAAGTGTGGTTTCAAAATAGACGTATGAAGTGGCGTCATACCAGAGAGCACGGACATCTATTGAATTCGGAATATAAATCAACAGATCAGGATATACCGAAGAAAATGTTAAAACATGACTCAAAAAAATGTTCAGAGACGCTGCAATCATGTGGAGATGACGAGGACATTGAGATTGAAGTAGAACTCTGATGTAGACACGTAATTTTTAGCCTTTTAATAAACTACTGAATTAAATGTAACCACTACAGTTTATAAGTAAGAAAGAGTCGAGTTGATTGAGTGGAATAATTACATTTTGGAGTTATTTGAAGAGTAATTGCCATTTTCTCATTTTTCAATTTTTTTACAGACTCCTGCGAAACCGTTAATAAAATTAACGTGGCAAAATATATTATTTAATTATTATCCAATGTTCAATGTTTGTTGAGGAACGTGGATTTGGGTGGTCGGGCGTCGGAAAATAGGAAGTATGAGTCGTGAAGGCTGGATTAATTTGGTGAAAACTCAAGTCTTAAAACAATTCGCGCTTAATGGTCGTTCAAAGTAAATGTACACTTTTTAGAGGGTATGTATTGAAATAGAAGCGAGTTGATTGTAATTATTAATGAATACAATCGTAATTAAAGACGTTGATATACAAAATTGTAAGAAGTCGAGATGAATTAAGACGCGGTTGAAATTCAAGTAACGTTGTAATAGACGGTGATTATCGATGCGAAACGATCAGTTGAATGTTGATACACGTTTCATCACCAAATTTCTTGAAAATTCTCAAAACTTTACCAAAAATTTAGAAAAATAGACACGACTACAACAACTCGTGAATGATTGAATAATTATAAAAGCGAAAAATGAGATAATATCAACAATAGAACATTCAACAAATGTAGAAATCCCTAGAATCTTCCAGTTATTAAATTTTACTCAACTGATGTAAAAAGTCATGTGTGTATACGCTCCACCTAAATTTTTATAAAATTTAATCTTATTTGTTATAAAAAATTCAATTATTTAAAAGAATAAATTGCTGAAAAGTTCAGAGAGAAGAAGAAAAGTTGTAACCAAAAATTTTTCTATGATAAAAATACACTTT